TCGTAAAAGTTTTGTCTTTTCTTCAAATGTATATGATTCTTTAACTGGAAGTCCTGTATGACGTATAAATGTATCAACAAATTCTTTCCAACGTAGATCGGCACATGACAATGTAATAAAGAAAGTTGGAAAGCCTAATTGGCGTGTCATTCCGAATAGATCTTTTAGACGTTGATGCCAATATTGTGGACTACCTCGAACTGATTGCAAATGACGATATATCATATCTTTATTCATTAGAAATTTCATTTGTATTTCATCCAAACTTTGTTTGGCACTCATTGGTAACTTTTTTCGGAAAGCGATATTGATTCCGGAATACACTTGTTTTAAGTCACCTAAATACTGTAGATAAAAGATATAACTTGAATCAGCAGCAAAACGAGAATCTGATGAGAATAGACGTGCTTTACAATATTCTTTCCATTTTAGATCAATTTCACGTTCTTCATCATATGAGCCTTGTCCATCTGGAAATAAATGAGGAAAGGCTAAACCTTCAATTGTTTTATCTGTTAATAATGAACTCAATTTATTTTTTTCAGCTGGTGCTACTACACATGGTTCTTTATCAAAGACTAAAAAATCATTAAAATCACATGGTTGAGTACATGAATCTGTACCAATATTATATTTAGTACGAATATCTTTATCATCTTCATCGATTTCTTCATCACTATTGATACTATTATCAATATCACCTAATGCTAATGCTTTTAGACGATTTTCATTAGATACTTGTGTTTCTTCAATAATATTTTCTTCTGAAATTGTGTCAACATCCATTGTTTCAACTACTGTTTCACTGTTATTTTCGACACTTTTTTCTAGATCAGACATAAGATAAGTTTCATCAATTTCATTTATCTTAATGTTTTTATACCCGGGATGCATCTTATTTAAAACACACAGTGCATCTCTAACATCACTTGGATTTATTAATTGTTCTTCCCATACAGCTTTATATTTTAGTCGTCGTTTCAATTGTAATCGGACCATCATAGATTTATCAACTGGACGAGGCAATGTGGTTACAGTATCTTGCACATCTGATGGTACACAATGAAGTGGTCCTTTAGTACCTTTTTGTGCCAATCTACTTGATAGTTTGCCTGATGTTAAATTTACAATTTTCATAAAAGGTAATCTTAAAGCAATTAAATGTTTTTCAAGATTATTTAATCTTTTTAGTTCAGATGGAACTGCACATACTTTCAATTTATTCACGATTGCTCGACTTGGCATTTGTTGTTTCTTTATTTTATCTGAGCATAATTTACAAATCCATTTACTTTGGCTTGACGATGAAAAATTAAAGTAAGATTGAATATTTTTTTTTATTCCAACTGACATGTTTTGTTTTATATACTTTTGCTCAACAAATGGTACAACCTGGTTACGAAAAAGTGCTAATCGACATGATATACAAATATAATCAGGTCCTTCTCGATTTATTTGTCGAAATCTATTCAAGCTATTTATATATAAATCTCTATGT